TATATATATATATTCTTACAATATATAATATTATATGCATATAATTAATAATGTCTTAAATAGAAAAAGAGATGAGGCAAAATGCGTCTCTACCTTTGAGACGCTGTGCAAATATTTTATTGTCGCAAGCTTCCTCAACGGAATCGATTGTAATGCCATTATAATGATCTGTATGACCTTTGAAGATTCGTTGTGCCATTATTGCGTCTAACGTATTTAATTGTCCGATACGTGTGCTATGCGAAAGAAGAACGGTTGAATTTCGTGTCGTCAATGTTCTTGAAACGCGCAGCAATATCGCGTTCTGCATCAGGTACTCAATGATCGAATGATCGAATCTCAGCGCGAAAATTTATTATCAAGTTAAGCGGCCATGAATTGATAACGAGAGTAAAGATTATCAGAACACGTCGCGATCATACGTAAGCGACGTATTGGCAATTTTTTCTCATTTCTTTGCGTCTCTATTTATATTGTCATTCAGTAGCAACATAACCTCAACTAAAATTGTACAATCGGATCCGCTTCTCTCTGAAAATATTACCGAAATAAGTTTTATATAAAAAATTGATAATTCAACGTGAACGTCATATAATAAACATCATTTCTGCGCATGAAATGACATAAATCGAACGATGTCACGTAACAACGAACGTAAGTTTACATAATAAATAATTTATATGTAAAATAAATATGCAATAACGCTTCTACCTACAATAAATTTATATGTTTTTATACATAGAACATATTCCGAGAAGAAAAATTGTCGCTCAAATCTTGTTTTTTTTTTCTTATAATTTCAATACTTTTTGATTTTGATAAGTTAGAAAATAATAATTTAATGATAATTTGCTTATTCTCTGCTTTAATTAATTAAAAATAAAAATAAAAATTATTTTCTTATATAATATAAATTATAGCATAGTTTATTGTGATCAAAATTTATATTTTTTTTATTCTTTTTATGTGAACCTTCAAAAGCTTTACAATAGAAAAGGTCGTGGGACGTGAATAGTGATTTTCTTTCTCAGAATATATTCTACATACAAATAAATATAAATTTAAACTACATAAATTAAACTAATAATTCAAACTAATATCAAATATCAAAATATAAATTTACATATATAAAATTACAGGAAAATCGAAAATAGGACCATTATACTACATTTATTTAATTATTTATATAAACAGCATACAAAGAAATACATAATAATATTATACCTAGTAAAAAATTTTTCATGCATGAATGTATATAAATATGTATAAACATATAGAAACATGTATAAATTTATAGACATATAATTATGTATGAGATATGTCCATACATCCTTCATTTGTAATATTACTTTTTAATATATTGAAAATAATAATAATAATGAGAAAATATAAAAAATAATTAATTGTTACATTGTTTATTTTAGAAAAAATAAAATTTGGAGAAATATAAAAACTGCTCATATATAATTGCATATAAA